CTACCAAAGTCCCTGTGAATTAGTCTGAAGTCTTGTAAAGAGAAAGGGACCTGAACTCTAATAGGGCAGCTGAACCCTCCAGTAATCTCCTGGAGGGGCAAAATGGAGGTTGATAGTAAGGTATCCTGCTTGCTAACAAATAGAACTAGATTGGGGGAGTAGGGACATGAAGGATCAAGAGTGATTGGCAGAGGGATTGATATAAACTGTGCAGTAGGCACTGCATCAGATGGAGGTGGGGAAGCAGTAAGGTTATTGAGGACAGCTTTTGCTAAAAGTACGAAGACCACTTTACAGAGTTGGCAAAGGACTGTCTTGTCTCATGGGGCAAAGAATCTCTGGACATATGGGATCTCATACCATTTTCCTGTTTGCAACAGAAGAGATCTAGTTGGAGGATGGTATTACAATTAATGCTTACCTTTGGGGAGCAAGTCATTCCTCTTTCCAACTTGTATCCTGATCACATTATGATGTAGAAAAAGACTGACTAGGTATTTTTTTTTTTCTTCAAGGTTTGATGGCCAAAAGAATCCCAGTGTCCAATAGTATAATCCAAAGAGGTACAAGTCAAAGATGTCATATTTTCCAGCTGAAATGAGAAGATCAGAAACAAAGCCATCACTAAGTTTTTTGCCTCTCCCCACTTGAGGTGTCCCTCAAGCTCATTGACTCTGGGAGCAATCTCCTGCAGTTTATCATGGGGCCTACAGCAGGGTGAGGTCAGAGAACAGGAGTAGATGGTTTTACCTGTACTTCCACCCCCGCCTTTGATTCTCTAGGATATGAACAGACTTTTTATATCACCTAAAGTTTTGCCATGATTGGTGAGCTAGGATTTGAAATTGGACCTCCTGAAAAAATCTCTCAACCGGCATTCTAAGGGCAAGGGTTTGCAAGGAAAGTGAATTTCCGTGGTGCCAGGGTTATTTGACATGGATATTGGTAGGGTGAGAGGTCCAGCAGGTAGAAATGAAATTTCTCCAGCCTGCCACCTCTAAAAGGTAGGTTAGAGGGAGAATCTGCTGGCGATAAGTCCAAGACTAAGAGATCACTGGACAAGTACTACCCATGACAATAGAGAGCTTGGGCAAGTATGGCCAACTACAACTCAGGGGAGTCGGATGACTTCTGCTTAAGGAGACAACTGGAAAGGACCAGTCACTTCAGCTCACTTAAAGGGCACCTAGGAGTGTGTCCAGGATGAGCGAAGTGCACAAGTAAAGCTAGATTAAGAGGGGAAAGAACCTGAATCAAGAATTTGTTACAGCGGAGGAGTAGAGAGGTTGCAGGACAAAAGGGAGTGTCTAGAAGTCATGATTAAATGGGAAGAGGTTATAGGAAGGTAAAAGGTATATCTCCATCTCACGCCCTAATGGACGACTGGAGTCTAGATTCCAGTATGGAGCCTTTGAGTAATCTTGGAGTTGCCCTGGCCAGAACCCTTCAGTTGTTCCAAATCTTTATCCCTGTGTCTTGTGTTATATATATATGTCCACAAAAGGAAACTGAGGAAGGACAGACCAATCTTTATAGTGCCAGGAAAATGTAAAATGGAGGGAGATCGATCAAACCTCTTTTTTCCCCTTCCAAAAAGCTTAACTTTAGAGCCTTTAATATCCACATATCCATTAGCTGCCCAGTTAGCTCACAGGGGCCCTGCATTGTCAGCTGATAGCAGATTATGGTGGAGAGAAAGGATTGCCAAAAAAGAGAAGCAGAAGCAATACATCTGTACTAATCCTTCTGATGACCCCTGACTACCCCCCAAGAAATTCTGTAGAAGTCTGTGGTTGTTATCACTTGGGTTCCTACCCCATGACCAAGGCAAATGAGGACCACGGAAAAGGAAAGGTGAACAGGAAAGATTGCTTAATAAGTAGAAAGATAAAGCACAGTATTTCTGAAGCAAAGGAAATTTCCTACAGTAGGAGGGATTCCTGAGTAGGAATATGTTAGGGGATATTGCTAGCTCTCTGGGCTAGGTGAAGTTTGTATATGATTTGAAAACATGTAAGTCAGTCAACAATGACCTTCTCATTGCTCATGAGTCAATGTCTAGAGTTGAACAGGTCCAGCTATAACCACGTTCTATCTTGCTTTTGGTTTCTCTCTCTTGTTTTGAGTAGTGAAGCATTTTGTTCCAGGTGTGTCATTCTGTATGCCAGACTTATATCTCCCTCTGTGCATCAGGCTTGAGTCATTTGGACCCTTTGTCTCTGGCTATCTTCCTAGGGCTACATCTTAGCTGCCACCTGTCTCTGTTAATCTTATATGAAAATTGTAGAATAATATTTAAAGAGTGCTAAAGATATAAATTTAGGAGAAATATGCCATATTCCTTGTACTGGATACTTAATAATATAAGATTTTCAAATTTTCTCAGATTTATAGATACTGAGAAGGCCAGTGATATTAATGGAAGGCATTGTGTGTTTACATAAGTTAAAATGGATATTTGATTCTACAAATTGCAGGTAATTGCAAAGGATAAAGAACAGCCAAGACAATTGTGCAGGATATTAATGGATAATGAATCTAACAAAATATCAAAACTTTTTAAAAAGTGTCAGAAATTCAGACAGCATAGATTGATGCCACAATAGGGAGTAAGCATGTTAGGAAAAAGTACAGCCCTGAAATACATAACTTAAAATAATTCCACAAATTAGAAATAGTTAAGGCATTATATTCAAAAACCAGTATGGATCTCCTGGACGCTTAGATGAAAATAAATCATTTAGCCTTTCCCTCATACCATACACAAAAATCAAATGCTATTAGATTATGAACCTAAATGTAAAAGGCACAAAAATAAGGCTTTCAGTTTCTGATATAAATAAATATTTCCTATTATCTTTGGATGTGAATTTCTTGATGTATAAATAGTAATTATAACTGAAAATCTTGATATATTGGACTATTATAAATTGAGAAACTTGTATCACCATAACTCACTATTAAGAGAGCAGAAACCAAATGACATAATGAGGAAAGATATTTGCAACACAAACAAATGGTAAAACCTGATATCCTGAAGACATATGTTAAAAAGTTTAAAATAAAAAAGATAATGATTGAATTGCAATCAAGTAAAATTCTGGACATGTAATTTGAGAGAATGGTCAAAGATGAAGTTAGTCAAATGATAAAAATATAGCAATATTTTTGACTTTAGTTTTTCACAAGAATAATCAAAGCTATATTGTATAATATCCTTCCCTAAATTACGTTATGAAGAGACAATGAAGCTGCACAGAAATGGGATCTGATAAATAAAAAAGGAGTGCACAATTGTCCAACTATTGAGGGAAGCTAATTGGCATTATCTACTTAAATGAAGATGAACATTCACCATATCAGAGAAATTTTGCTGCTGGGTATATCCTCAATATGCATGCACATGTGCACCCAAAGAGATACAAATACAATACAATAACATCATGATTTATATTATCAGTAAGCTGAAAGCAATCCAGATATGCCTCAAGAATAAAATTGCACTATAAACTAAATATCAGTGAAAATAAATAAATTATATGGACTCAACATAATACTGAACAAGATAATTCACATTATATAATTAGATTTATACAGACCACAATTCTGGAACAAACTAAGCTGTAATGTTTTAAGACACATTTTTATTGTGTAAATATACAAAAATAATCAGAGAATTATGATTAAAAGTGAGGGAAAAGCTTATTCTTGGTACAAGCTATGAGAAAATGAGAAGGATATTTTTTTGGTTTCAGACCCTGGTACTACAATAATTCTTTATCTTGGTACTGAACAAATACTTTTTATATTGCACTTCACTGTGCTTTGATATCAAATATATCAAATATCTGGATATAAATTGGACCAAGGGGTACAAAAATTTTATGAGGTATAACAATCTGGAAAACTATTAATTGTAATTGAAAATATTGAGTTTATGACTTAATTAATAATTAGATATATCAGTTTACACTGATCTATAGAATTAACATATTTTTAATTAAATATATTAGAAAGTGTAAAATAGTTCTAATACATCTGTAGAAATGCAATTGCCTATGAGTAGCAAGGCATACTTATAAAATCACAAGATGATAATCAAAGATAAACTAATCAAGACTGTTGTATCTGAGAAGAATAAACAGATCGATGGAATAAAGGCGAATATAAGAACACACCCACAGATATGAGGTGGTCTCAGTAAAGTTCATGGAAAATGAGCATTATGAAAATACTATTCATGGATGTTAAGATTTGTTTTCTTTTTGGCATCAAAAAACTTTGTTTTTTAAAAAGATTATTTGTTATTTGAAAAGCAAAATGATGGAAAGAGGGAGAGACACACACGGAGAGAGATTTCCCATCTGCTGGTTCACGGCCTAAATAACCACAATGGCTACGCTCCCAAATGGATTAGCAGGGAGCTGGATTGGAAGTGGAGCAACCAAGACCCAAATCAGCATTTATATACGAGACGCTGGTTTCACATTCACAAGCAGCATTTTAACCTGCTACACCACAACATTGACCCCAACAATTTATGTTTTAATTCCATATTCCTTGTACTTTTTGAAATATGCTCCTGAATGGCACTTGATCTGAAAAAAAAAAAAAAAATCAGTAATGCAGAGAAATGCCTTCAGTTAGCGAACTTGTAAAAAACGAGACAGCACCGTAGGAAAATTGATGCCTATTTCACAACAAACACAAAAATATCTTTACAGGTACTACATGTAAGTGAAAAGGAAAATCATGATAAGAGAGTAAACTCTGCTGCTTTCAAATGTTCAATAGTAACATCGTTGTATTACTTAACCAATCTTGGCCAAAACTTTAGCTGGGGAGAAACAATTGAGGTCACTTGATGTTGAGGAACTTGGGAAAGACGGTGTTTATCAAGTTCCCACACCTTTTGCCCCTGCCCCCTTATCTCTGTGCTCCCATATGTCTGTCTCTCTATGGTAACTGGTGTCATGGTAACTGGCAGATCCACCTGCTTAGTGAGCTGCCTGGAAGTCTGTTATGTTTGGCTCTGGGCCACTTTTGTTGGTAAACCCATATAAGGAACTGGTAGGCCTGGCTATTTGTGGGTGCCTATGAATGGATGTGTGCACGTATGCCATTGCTTGTGAATATGACTATTGGTGGCTGTGGCTGGATTCTCTGCTACAAAGGTAAATTATAGAAGACCCCTTATTCCAATGTTTCTGACACACTGTAAGTCTGGTGTGTATTTCCTTTGCTTCACTCCAATCAATAAATTTAAGTTTATGTAAACACAGTTGTGTTTTTGGTGGCTTTTATTGGCTTTCACAAACAAAGAGGGATTTGCAGAAAAATGTTTTGGAATATTCATATCAGAGTGAGTAGGATATTAGATGATGTAATGATTTTATATTTCCAAATTCAGTATATGTTTTTGTACATATCACTGTAGTAAAATAATACTTTGTATATCTTATCAGGAATGTTAGTTTATTATAGTAATTAGTAATTTGTTCAGTGATTAAAATATTAAGCTATATTTCTCAATTCTAAAATAAGCTTTTAAAAGGAACACTTGTGTAACTTAAAACTCTTTGAATTCACAAGAAGCTCCTGCCTTCAAAATTACTAATATGTATTTAGAATAGAATTTGTTGTAATTATATGTCTCCTTAGGGGAAACATGTGTATGCTACAAGAGTGTGTCAGCAATCATTTTTGTGTTGTGATTATATACTTTATGATTCGCCTTCCTAAATTGGAGGGCAAGCACATTATTCTTACTATGTTAATTAGTTTCTCTTCAGTAATCCAGATGTTTTGTTTATGTAATTTATTCCTTCCTGTTGGTTTTTTGGTAATGAGATTTATCTGTATGATGCCCCACTTTCTAGTTCAGTATTATGCTTTTAAACTCAATCCCTTCAAAATGAGACTGAAAACAGTAACAGTTTTTCTCTTCTTGAATGGTTTTCTTTTTAGAAAAGGTTCATTAAGTTGGCATATTTTTTTCTTTTTAAATATTTATTTATTTATTTTGAAAGTCAGAGTTAACTCAGAAAGAGGGAGAAAGAGAGAGAGGGGTTTTCCATCCACTGGTTCACTCCACAGATGGTCGCAAAGGCTAGTATTGGGCCAGCATGAAGCCAGGAGCCAGGAACTTCATCCGTATGAACCAGAATCTCCCATATGAGTGGCAGGGGCCCAAAATCTTGGACTATCTTCCATTGCTTTTCTTGGGCCATTAGCAGGAAGCTGGACCAGAAGTGGAGCAGCCAAGGCACAAATCGGAACCCATATGAGATGCTGGTGTTGAAAGCAGCAGCTTTACCTAACACACCACATCAGACCTCGTGGCACAATTTTTAAAGTTTTTACAATATCCTCATTTTATAATCACACAATGAAAATCTCAAAGCAAAAGAAATGTGAAAATAATGCATATCCCTATTATTGTAAAATATGCAATAACTGTTCTGTGGAATGTGATTAAGTAGTAATGTAAAAATGCAATACCAAGTAAAATGTGTCTATTTCCTTGACTATGACTAATGAACAAATACCCGTTTATCCATTCCTTCCCTAGTCTTGTTCCAACATAGATTCCCCTATAATAAAGTTATTCAGAGGACTATTACTAATATCAGATAGATACATAACTTTATTATAAATAATTGGCTGACACATACAAGGGGAAAGGGCATCTAATAACTTTCATTTATATGTCTGTACTTGTATTTTATTGAAAAAGAAATTGAGAGAATTGCTGCTTAATTGTATGTGTTTATATGGGTAGGCCATGGTGCCTAGTTGTTTGGTCCAATACTAAGTGTCATATAGTGCTGTAAAAGTTAGTGGATGTGAACAACAACTATAGTAAGTTAAAGTTAAGTAAACCATATTGCCCTATATGAGGTGCCTAAACCTCATACAATCAGATGGAGGCATTCAGAATAAAGGTCACATTTTTCTAAAGAAGAAGGAACATTGTTTCAAGACTATCACAAATAAATTCTTGTGTTTTTACTCTTCTGGCCAGCCCCATGAATTCTGACTGAAAACTTTCTTATCGGCTACTGTATTACCTGGCTATCAGGCCTGGAGCAGGTCAGTCACAAATTTCAAACTTGATAGTGCCCACGTTAAATCAACCAGTTCCTTCATATAAATACTGCCCTCTTCATCAACACTCTCATGCTCAGTGCCAGCACAGATAAAACATCAGGTCAATACAGATAAAACATCAGGGTTTGATTTGTCAGTTTATTATCATAGAGCAAGTTGGTAGGAGGGTACCATGGCAATTTATGAAAAAAAAAAAAAAAGGTGTGTAAATCTGTAAACTGGTTGCTTTTTTCTTAAAACAACAAGAACTTGGAACTGTGTAAACAGAGAAAATCAAAGTGATTTAATGGATTGATGTCACAATGAATTTGAGGGATTATTTTAATGGTGTCTCTAGTGATTACTAGAGGATTTAAGATTTTGGAAATTACTATTTTTAGTGTTGATAATTTAATTGTGTGATTGGGAGTAAGTGTAATCAGGGAAGAGAAAAATATTCTTGCAGGTCAAAGATCAAGCAATCATGGTACCAAGGGTTCAATGAGTTTCCAAGTATTTGGTATAGCTATGTCTGTCTATTCTTTTAGTATTTCATAACTTCTGGGATTATTTTTATTTTACTCAAGAAGTTCTCCACACACTAAGTCTTGAAATTACCATCTCATACTTCTCATTAGATTATTACTTTGATATATTGATTTTATCTAAAAGTCATTTTTACATATGATATGAGGATTTAAAAACATTTTTTTCCAAATAGGTTTTAAATTCTGATAAAATTGCATTTCTTTTTATGATGTTACTTACTATTTACCAAATTCTTTGAATATCTATGTGCATTTATCTTTAGAAATTATAAATATTACTTTAAATAAAGGTAAACTAATCATCAGGAGATTATGACTACACTTTCCTTCAGCAAAGAAAATTATTTCATGAGAAAATGGGATGCCTATGCTATTTTTCATACCTGAATTAAAACTATCTACCTGGTCACACAATTGAGACTAGTGAATTAAACTTCTGATGGCAGTCAGACACTTAAGTATCCTGTCCTCCAAGTTTGAAATTAAACTAATATTTATACAATATTTATAATCACAATTTATGTTGCTTGTAAAGCTTACAAGAAGACATTAATTCTGCTTTTGAGAAGTTTAATTATTTTGCAGAGCATTAATATTCCTGAAAAGAATAGCAAAATAATCCAATTAATATGAGATCCTAGGCACACAAACAAATAAAATGTACGTGAAGGCAGCAGAGATCTTGTTCTGAGGCAACCAGGAATTGAGAGAACACAATTCCAAGGAAACGGAATAAATTTGGCATGACATTCTGCACCAGTCATTTCCCCCAGGACATTTTCCAGTTCTCAGAACAGAGTATACACCTGAGAATCTCAGCAAAGTGCCTGAGAAGTGGCCTTATAGTGAGCATAGAAAAAAATATCTTGCAGATATTTTCAGGCCTAAAAGGTCAACAGACACCTGAAGTAACTGCCATGTGTTGCTCTTTGGATGCAGATCAGAATTTCCAAACTCACCAGAGTCTCAAAGGAAAACACTACTGCGACCATGTAGGAACCAGTAAGGGTGTGATTTGCTGATAAGAAAATCCAGCTTCAATTCATTATAGTAACAGAGTGGATTAGTCACTCTATCTTCCTACTAAAAGGATAAATGAATTCACCATATAGAAAGAAAGCAATTACTTGGAAACTACAATATTCTGTAAATAAAGTCTGATATTTAATAAAAATCATTCTTCCCCTTACATCTGAGAATCATTGACCTAAGTCAAAAGAAAACACAGAAAAATCATTACACAAAAGTTGATATAAGCTTTAGAATATTTAGACCCATGTTGAAAATATCTACAACTAACATGTTCAATATTAATTAAATATGTAACATATAAAGACAGGTGGTATCACTGGATAATTAAGAACTGGCAAAAGTTAGAATACATATTTAGTACCAGAAAGCAATGCTGCAAAAGCTAAGTGTTCAATAAATATATTTGGCAGCAAATTAATTACAACAAAGGAGAATATATAAAAAAAAAGATCAGAAAAGTATCTGAATATAAATACAAGTAAATAAAAAACACAAACAGAAAAAGATTTAGATGGAGATATCTCAGACATTATTTTTTAAAATCCCATTAGGAGGAAAAAAATGAAGAGAGCTGACACAGAAAAAAATAGAGGAAGAAAGGAAGAAAATGGGGGAAAAAAGGAAAGAGGAAAAGAAAAGAAGGGAGGAAAGCAGAGAGTGAAGAGAGGCCCAGCAGTATTTTATTTTATTTATTTATTTATTTTTATTTAATGAATGTGAATTTACAAAGTGCAACATTTGTATTGTTGTGACTCCCCCACCCCAACCTCCCTCCCTCCTGCGGCCCTCCCCTCTCTCACTCCCTCTCCCATCCCGCCCTTCATCGAGTTTCATTTTCAATTACCTTCATATACAGAAGATCAACTTAGTATACACTAAGCAAGGATTTCAACAGGCTGCACTCACACAACCGCACAAGGTATAGGGCATTGTTCGACTAGTAATATTGTTTTTAAGTTTGATAGTAAAACACATTAAGGACAGAGAAACTACGTGGGGAGCCTGTACTCAGTGACTCCCGTTGTTGATTTAACAATTGGCACTCTTATTTATGACGTCAGCTATCACCCGAGACTCTTGTTATGAGCTGTCTAGGCTATGGAAGCCCCTTGAGTTCACCAACTCTGAACTTCTTTAGTCAAGGCCATATCACAGTGGAGGTTCCTTCCTCGCTTCAGAGAAAGGCGCCTCCTTCCTTGATGGCCTGTTCCTTCCCAGCAGTATTTTAGAACACAGTGGCTCACGATGTCCCACAGAATAGCCGGAAGTCCTGCCCATTGACAGTCTGGACTTGCACAGCATGTATTGTGTTAGAGGAAAAAGGAACAAGTGTGCTGAAGATGCATGGTGCAAAGAGAAGCAGTAAGAGTATGGGAGATACAGGAGCAAAGTAAGACAATAGCAAGGATTTCCACAATTCAATTCTGGAGCAGAAATTACAGAAGATAGTGGACGAAAATTTTTCAGAATTCAAAATAGACTCAAATAGGATGCTCAAGAAGCTA